CGATATAGAGGAACGCGCTGTCTTAGGGGTCCCGAATCAGTACAAGAGGCCTTCTTATTGTGACTTGAGATCACGGCCTTACGGGCGGGGTCCTTAATTTGACCTACAGCTAGCCATTTGGGCTCCACAACCTTCCAACCGGGTCCTTGATCTATGGTCTAAAAAGATCCGTCGGTCCCTCTTTGGGGCCTTCAAACACGGCTCCTGGCCTAATTGGGGCCACTTGCCATCAGAGGACTCCTGTTGGGCAATGTAGTCTCTGACCGACACAGAAGCCGCCCATTTTGTCAGGGATTCCAAACATTGCAAATCGTGTTTCCCAACGTCGTCCCTGCTTGCGAAAGGGAAGCTAAGGGTTCAGACGGACACGGTGCCCCCTATATGGCTGCGTGTCGATGGTCACGCTTTGTAGCTGAATGAGAAAATGTTCTTCAGGCCAATACCGATAGGGAGCCGACTGTGTGGCATGATGGTGCCTGACAGACATTTGGGCACTTTTCGACACAGGGGGTTCCCGAGCTACACAAAGGGCCCACTGACTGTCATTTGAGAGCCCGTCCCTGCAGAGCCCGCCCCTGAGTGAGGCTCCGACCAGCCCTTTGCACCCTTCAGCCCCCTAATCGGGCCCTTAATCATCGGTCCTGGTGGGCTTTCCAGGCTTTTCGGGCTTCGTCGAGCACTGATTCTCCGACTCGGGACCCCTTGCTTACACAAGACCCCCTGTTAGGTGCTGTGGGGCCCTGACGAACGCTGGGACACCGACAAATGTAAGTCGCTGGCTTCGGCTTTATCCCTGTTTGGGAATTAGGTCGTCAGGCCCTTGTCCCCACGGAGCCGACTGTGCGTTACTGGGGGTGTCTGGCAGACATAAAGGCCCTTATCGACTTAAGGGCTCTTGATTAGCGCGCAGGGCCCTCTGGCTGGCATTAGAGCGCTCGGCCGTGCGGGCCGGGAACCCTGAATACGACCTGCCGTGGAAACCCCGGTCAGTAAGTCGCAAGGCGGGATGTAGGCTGTAACGCTGCAACCCGTTCGACGTGTTAGACACGGCTAATCCTGTTTTGGTGTCCGCTGTCGGCCGATTACGTCGCTATCGGTTCATTCGGTTGGTGTCGATCCGCAAGTTTTCTAGAACTGTGCCAGCCAGTATCCTCCAGGACCCGTCACCAGAGTCCGCTGCTGAACTCCGATTAATTCCCCACTACTCAAGCAAGAAAAATGGTAAATTTTGGACTTTGTCTGGTGCGTTTCTAGTGCAGTCTTTTGTTTAATAAGCTTCGAAAATTGCTAGAAGTGGTATCTGTCATTTTCTCAATTTCCCTCCTTCTTGCATTTCAGCAACGTCCCATTTATGAGGGTCTACATGTATCAGCCATGGGGGGCTTCAGCGCCCCAGGTGAGGCTTTGTACGAACGCCGAGTACATGCCTCGTATGGTTGCCGGATAAAACGTCGGATGGGAGAAAAGTCGAAAGAGAGCTTGACCACAAATAGTCGAATGGGATAAAGGCATCGGGGATATAAGAAGAATCGGAAAAGATCAAATGTCAAAATTTCAAAAGTCTATTGGGAAAAGCCGAACGAAAAAGTCGACGCTCCAAATATCGAAAGGGATACAAGTTGACATGAATAATTGTAGAATCGGGAAAAGGTCGGAGGACATAATGTCTACAGGGACAAGTGTTGCATTGACAACAGTCAAAGGACAAATTGTCGAAGGTAATTTCTTAACAGGATTAAAAACACTGGACAACAATCTAAATGCCAGAAAGTCTACATGAGTGAAGCAAACTTGGACAAATGCGAATGCGCACGCAGTGATTTAGGATTTCAAGATTTAAGGAGAAAGATAAATCAGCATTTAACACGTGACGTTGAAGGGGATGGCCCTGGTGCTCTCGGATGCGCCCATGGATCCAATGGGTTAATTTGCCCCGCGAGTGTTTATCCTTCTGTCTATACGCAGATGCTGTCGCGTTCCAATGTTTATGTCTGCATATTTCTACTCGCACTAATGCGCAAGTTAGGTATTTGGTGGCGCTGGGCTACTCCACACATTTAAGTTGAGAATTCCAGGGAGCTTTAAATGGCAAGCCGCTGCATATGCAGCAGTTGACCGTGTGCTGACCAAGTCGTAGTTTTATAACGTACCAGAATGAACCTCTTAGGAGGGTCTAATAATCCAAAAATATCAAATTCTTAGTGGAGCATTATGGCTGTAGAGTTCGTGCAAGAAATTATAAATGTCCGTACGGTCATGGCCATTACTCCATCATCACTCCCCCATCACTCTACCTCACCTCCCGCAACACGAATCATCTGCCGGCGTTTTCGTTACTTTCAGATGTCATGTAAAAACGTAACTGCATTGAAGAAGCAATCTAAATATTTCACGCGTAATCGTCATTAGAATTATTTACTCACTCGAAATTCGTCATCACTTTCGTCGTTGTGTCTACATTGGGGTTGGACTTAGTTGAAGTACCGCATGCTGCTATATAAAATGCAATATAGCGGGGAACAGTTTCTTATATGTGCACATAACAAACGTAACTTCCTTTTCACCCGTGTTACTATTGGTTCATTCATTTCCAGGCGTGTTTGGCAATATCATGCAAATATGGAACGAGACGTGGCATTAGAAACCACGAAGCTTGGTACGAAACTCGCCAACTCTCTTGCCCGAGTGTGTGAAAATAAATCGGGGGCAGCAGCTGACAGTAATGGCACAACCGTATTTATATACATAGCGTCCAGAATGTGGCCAAAAGCAGATTTGAGAGTTCTTTACGCTACCGCGATGCCATAGAAAATGTGCGGAAATACTGAGAAAAATGAATATTTTATCAAACGTTTTTGACTCGTCTAACGAGTATGAAGCTCAGAGGCTTCCCCGATATAAGTTGATTTATATTCAGTGCATGGATGCCTGGGTGAACCTAAATAGTCTCCCCTAAATAGTCTGCACATTTTCGTGGACTTGTAGCTCAGAAAGTAAAGGGGCTTATGTCTTAAGAAGGGCAGGGCTGTGAACTGCTCCGACCGATCTTTAAGACGGCTAGTTCGGTTCAAAATATCACACAAACGTGCTAAAAATTCCCTTCTACTGACGACCCGGGTAGTGGTATGGATAGAATGGTCATGAAAACTTTCCCTTTCACAGGTCACAGGTGTTTTTCACGTACTTACGACGGCCAGGTGAAGTTGAGCTATTAAAATCTTGTAGCTCTTGACTTAGTTCTAAAAAGAACCGAACATAAGATCAATAAAATGAGGTTCATCAAGCTAGGGGAACACCCGTTACGTCCCAGACCATTAAGTAGCTTAAAAGGTTTCTCGAAGACAAAATAATAAATGAGCTCGCTCGGATGTCGTGAACAGTCGGTAGAGCAAACGAAGTGTGCGCGTGGAAACGATGAATCTGCTGTTAGTGGTTCAAAACGAATTACCCAAATTGCACAGGATGTCTTCACAGTCACGTATTGCGATCCCTGTCACGTACAACGACCGCAACTTTGTACGTCAAAGTTCAACTGTTTATTCATATATGTAGAGCGAAGGATGGAGAGAGAGAGAGAGAGAGAGAGAGAGAGAGAGAGAGAGAGAGAGAGAGAGAGAGAGAGAGAGAGAGAGAGAGAGAGAGAAAGAGAGAGAGAGAGAGAGAGAGAGAGAGAGAGAGAGAGAGAGAGAGAGAGAGAGAGCAAAGGAGGTTGGTGTGTAAAACGAGCAGCTGCGCTTTGCATGATTCACAATGGGAGCAACAGCCTTCCCGTTCCCACCACAGCAGATGTGGCCGCCTGACAGGTTTCATGGGAATCTTAATGTTTTCCTTCAAAGTGTTCTAAAGAGAAGAGTTCTGAAGAGAGGAGTTCTGAAGAGAACAGTTCTGAGAAGTGTGGGGTTGACTGAAGAGTTCCGGTGTGGATCGTTGGACAACTTCAGCACTGCGGACGCCAGGCCAGCGGTCGCAGTATTCTGTCTGCACCAAGCGGCTCAGAGCGTGACAATCACGCACCCAGCACCCACGGCCGCCTGTCCAGCCCGCCCAGAGTACCTCCCACCCCGTCACAGTCGCCGCCCCGGCTCGCCGAGGGCACCCGCGTCACCCCGAATCACCACTTCAAAGTCGTGCAGCCAAACGGTCAAGATTCGCGCGTCAAGCCTTGAGCTACGCGGAAGCGTTTGGTACCGATGCACAGAACCACTGGTCATACACAGAACCACTGGTCATACACAGAGCCACTGGTCATACACAGAACCACTGGTCATACACAGAACCACTGGTCATACACAGAACCACTGGTCATACACAGAACCACTGCTCATACGTGAAGCTGCCCGCCCGGCGGCGGCCGCCGTGCGTTGGGGCTGGCCGTGGCCATCCAAGTCGGCGAGCTCTAACACAATTGCATTGACGAAGGTGTTCGAATAGCAGGCCGTCCACAGGCCACATTAAGCTGAGGCCAGCGAAGGGGTCACCGGGCTCCTGCTCCGCGCCGGTCGGCAATGTTTTGTGCTGGTTCAAGGCCAGCGGCGCTGTCGGGGTGAAAACCGAGCAGCCAAGAATAATACTAACAAAATGTCGATAACGGGCCAAAAACACGTGCGCACATCATGCCGACCGCCGTTCACGGACGCCCCGTGCTGAAGCAAGACCCGAGCTAACGTTGAGAAGTATATCTAACAGTATTGGAGCATGAAAATCCGCTGGACTGGTCAATGGCTTGCAGCTATACATTTTGTTCGCTTTCCTCCGAAAATACGCGATCATCTTTTGTCACTTATTCAAACGATTAGCGAAGCATTTGTGACATTAATACGTGTATACAAATATTGCACGATGCTCGCGTTGCATGCCTCAACATACGCGCACTAGGTCGAGTGGTCTCCCTCAAATAGACCTCGAAAACATGCGGCATTGCCTGCCGGCCAGCCACCGCGCGTTCCGAGAATCCCGCAGTGTTGGCTGGGCCCGACAGCTGACCCCGTTGCGTTTGGCAGGCTGCTGGCGCCTGCTCTCCATCCACGAACCGTACAACCTGTACCTGCTGACCATCCTGCTGGGATGCTACCTGTTGGCTCAGATCAACCAGTACGTGCTGGCCGTGGTCGCCCGCCCCATGGCACAGGTAAACAACCAGTACGCCAAACGGTAGGATGGGGGGGCTGGGTACCACACTCCGTCTCGGCTGTGCCGCTGATTTCAGTCACTATGCCACGATCGCGTTGCACTTAAGCATGACACCGTCGGCTGCCCGTACGACATCTGTTCAGCACCCACGCGTAATCTGCTGGCTGTCGTAATCTGTCGTAATCTGTCGGCAGCTGCTTCGCGATGTCTGCATCGCGGCGCTGGCGGTCGCGGGGTTCGGCGGCCTCGGATTCCATGCCAGCTGTTTTGCAATATCATGGCAGCTTATCCGATGGTCTTTCAGCATATTGAGCGATTACTTCCGTTTGAGTGCAAAAGCTGTCGTCAAGGTGCTACACAGGGGTTTCTCTTTCAGGAGATCGGCTTTGGAGAGCGAATGTATGCCAACAACCAAACCGAGTCGTCGTACACGAACAAGTGAGTGTGCAGTATTGTGGCAATCCAACTACTGTTTAGACGCCATTGGCCATTTGGTCATGCCCATTTCGACCACACTGCCTTGTTTCCGGTTTCAGACTGTGGCAACAATGCAGCTCCACGACCTTGCATAGCCTACTTGTGTGTTCAAATTCAAAAATCTACTACACTAGCTAAGTACAAGTCTATCAAGAGCACCAGCTCATGCGCTGTCGAGGTTGAAAACTTTATCACCATTAGTTTAAAGCTGTGGAGCTTTCAGCATATTCTGGAACTTTTTGTTGGAGGCCAGCTAATATAAAAAAGCCATTAAGCTTTGGATTTAGACATTTTGTTGGTTGTAATTTCACCATTTGCAAGAACTCAATCGCTCAACAAGCTGCGCAAGCAACTGGCCGCAATTAACTTAAACCAAGCGTTTTACATTTATTAGCAATTTTTGGATATTTGACAGTGAAGGACGCAGCCTGGGCTGTTTAGCGGAGAAAGCCTGTGGGAACGCAGCACAAGTTTTAGTGCTCTGTCAAGAGCCACCTATGGTTAGAAAATGCCGGCATTAAGAGATTGGGGGGGGGGGGGGCGCTGTGCGTTTTCGTGCGCTTCAGATATTAAGCCCCCTAACAAAGGACAAGAGCCGTGGTCGGGTCGGATCAAGACAATGTCAAGGCATGGATAGATCACCTAGGTAACTTTTTTTCTCCTCGTCCAGTTCTCAGAACATCGAGAAATAAATGTTGTTTAAGTTTGTCACTTATGGTTGACCTTTTTTGCTCTCAGTCTTTTTTGCGCTTATTTTTGGCAAATGAGCGTAAAGTCTGATTTGGTGCCTACTAGCTGGTCTCGCATGACGCTTGATGGGGACCTTGTGGATGTTCGGATAGTGTGACTTAACCAGACTGACAGACAAAACAATAAATCCACAAATGACATCAAAACAAAAACAAAAATAGGGAAGGAAAGTGCAACTTATTACATGTACATGTAAAAAATGTTTCCCAAGCCACCACTGCTGTCGTCAGCACCCCTTGTTCTAACCCCGTATCGAGATTGTCTTCTTTCGGGGTGTAAATTGATCCCTTGTCAGGTATCGATGATCTGAAGATCAACCCGGCATGCATCGGAAGTACTTTAAGCCCCCGGCGACTGTGGGCTGATGTGCTAATGAGGCGCGCGACCAGGACCGGAGGACCGACATGTGCCGTGGTGATACAGTGCTCCAATGCACCACCGTTGCGAGCCGAATAAACGTCACAGACACCTGCTTCGCAGCTGTGACAATAGCAGTGTCGTAATCTGTCATAATGGCGGATGAGAGCGTTCTTGAGAGTTGGCGGATGTTTTTTCTCGACAGTACGTTTCGAGTATTTTGACCGCCTGAAGTGATGATCATCCTGTGGCCAATCACCTCTATATCTTACGATTTCCCCTTTAAATTTGCAAAAGCCTTGCGAGCTTGCGTCCTTTTCAAGACCACGGTCTTCGCCATAGCTGGAACATGGCAACATGCACCGTGGCATTCACCATAGCCCCCGCCCCAGCAAGGATTGCAGTGTCGGGTGCCGAGTGGGTACGGTCACGGCAGTCAGTCGCATCTTAGATACCACAGATCTACCGCAAGCATGACGACGTCATATGAGATAACCGAGACATGAATCACGTTTGAATTCCGGCTTTCTAAGAGGATTTCCCGTCACTCGGGCAAACCGGTCGACGGCGGGAAAAGTTCCATTTGTTCTTCAAGCCCGTTGGGTAGGGCTAATCGGGCCCCTCACACTCGCTGCTCTGGCGTGGTCTGTCTCCCACGAGCGAGCTCAGAGGTCGTCGCGGGTCACGGTACGTTTCAGAAAATTGTCTCCTCAGACAGTTGTCGCCTTCTGGTCGAGAACCAGCCAAATGAGGAACGAGAGGGCGACGTGGCGATGTTTCTGTTCAGTGCCGAGGAGGTGAGACAACGGCCACCTTGCAATCTGCGATCTTTCTCTGCTGTGTGGCGGCGACAAGAACCTCTTGGTGGGATATCTTTCCAACGCTGGTCTCTTTCACAGTCAATTCGGCCGTCCTTGTTCAACATGCCAGGGACTTGCTCGTTTGTAGCTGGGAAAGAGGTCATAATGTAACGGCCTGATTAAGGCTCACCATCGGTCCCCAGCGACCATGGGCGATGTCATCGGGTGTGGGGGCCGAGCTTCTGGACACCGGTGGTGTGGAAAATGAAATGTTCTGAAATGTATGCCTGTAAAATATTGGTTAGAAAGCGCCATCGATTATTTTAGTTAGGGAATTTTCTTGCATGGGGCGGCGTAGTCGTAATGTTGCATTTTGAAGAAAAAAAAACCATGCCGATAGGGCGTAGGCTGCCTCATGTACGAAACCCTTGCTGAGACGGAATGTGGGACCGCCAGCCGCCAGACACTTTAGGTGATACGTCTCAATGTCTTTCCGCTGTACCTATCACGTGACCATGGGTTGAACGCTGAGTTGACTACGCCGTCTGTTGACAAAAGAGGGGAATGTGGCATTCTGTGCCATCTAGCGGCAGGAGTTGAAACATATTCCACTAGTAATGCTATCTAGCGCCAGGAATGAAAACCAATTCTGGACGCAGTGATCGCTGGATGTGATGGACATTGAATGCTATGAGTTTGGACGTTGAGAGTTTGGATACTATGAAACCCGTCAATGTGCACGGAATTGGACGCATCTTGGATATTACAAACGATGAATGCTGCAATTTTGGATGATCTGAGCACTAGACGCCGTGGTCTTGGCCGTTTCCGATGGCTGCCCATCCAATCGGCCTACCGGAGAAACTCTTTGCGTCCTCCTGGCTCTTGAAGACTTCCGGTATCTAAAGCTCTACATCCTAGAAAATAATAAAGATTTTTGGAAGAGTTGTCGTAATGCATATCTAAAACTTTTCTGTGTTTGTAGCAATATCTGGGTTACCAAAAGCCAAAATACACTGGCAAGTTGCCAATCAGTCGCCGTTAAGTGATCCTCTTTAGAAACATATATTAGTAACAGTTCCGTTCGCGAAGCGCTCCTTAGCAAGACCGACAGGAAGCGCACTCATTTCATGACAACTCGATCCTAAAAATGAAACTAGGCTCTAGGCCATTTCATCTATTTACAAGTTTAAAATATAAAAAATACGCGCTGGGCAGATCAAGCACGTCAGAAGAGCCTCATCTAACTCTGTTATGTGTTAGAGTGTCGGTGGAGTTGTTTTGCAAGTGAGTCGACGACCCCTTGCATGAGGTGGAGTAACGTCTAAAGTTGGCCAAGCTTACCCGAGGTCGGGCACGTTCCCTTAAACTCATTCACAGCAATGGCGGATGATGACTATTCACAGGCGTTTGCGCTGCGGTGTCCGTCCATCAGTCCTTGGTGTCATACGCGCTCCATATTCAGTGGGCTGAGGCTAACTGGGGAAAGGGGAAGGAGAAAGGCGGCCCCACATACAAACATAGCTCCAAATAAGCTGCCCGTTCAGCCTTCCCTGGATTGGCTGCCTAGTTTGGACCCCCTGCGCCCATCTGATGTTGGTCCCAGGCGCTTGTATGACGCTGTCCGGCTGCCAAGCCGCGACTGGCCCGTCATTACCCGCCGCAGCCGGTCCCTTTACTAGCTCCGGCCCGCCTCCTTGCAGCTGCACCTTCACCGCGCCACCGATGGAGGCCTCGCTCGAGACCCAGTCGCTGGCCAACATCCTGGGCGAGGTGAGCGAGGCGGCGCTGACAGTCGGCCCGGCTCGCTCAAACGACTCGTCCGCCCCGGCGAGCCTGCCTGGCTGCGAGCAGCCGCTCTACCAGCCGGCCGGGTATCAGTACAATGTGCTCATCGGGCCCGCCTTCTTCCTCTTCTTCACGGGCACCGGCATTCCGCTGGGGATTGTGGCCGACGTCTACAGCAGGAAGGTAGGCCGCCCCAGGTGAAGGGCTGTGTGGGGTGACGACGATGTAGTGACCAGCGGTCGGCAGGAGACGGGTTGGCGCGGTGTGGGATGTGCCCGTCTTGTCCGGGAGTTCCCGAAACAGCGATCCCAACGTCGTCTGGCATGATTAAAGGTCATGCGAACCAAATGCGAGATTTTTAAGCTGCCTTACGAGCGACGCATTTTCTGACATCTTCACCAGGCGATTACTGACTCTTGGAGCGGTCATGAACTCCAGGCATCGGTCGCCACAGAGGCTGACGTGTCCGGTGTACCGTCAGATGGTCCTTGGTATCTGTGTGGTACTCTTGTGTGAACTTCAGACATCGGTCGCCACAGGGGCTGACGTGTCCGGTGTACCGTCAAGTGACCCCCGGCATCCGTCTGGTACTCTGGTGTGAGATCCAGACATCGGCCGCCACAGGGGCTGGCGTGTCCGGTGTACCGTCAGGTGACCCCCGGCATCCGTCTGGTACTCTGGTGTGAACTTCAGACATCGGTCGCCGCGGGGGCTGACGTGTCCGGTGTACCGTCAGGTGACCCCCGGCATCTGTCTGGTACTCTGGTGTGAACTTCAGACATCGGTCGCCACAGGGGCTGACGTGTCCGGTGTACCGCAGGTGATTCTCGGTATCTGTCTGCTCCTCTGGTCCGCCTGCACCACATGCACCGGCTTTGTCACCACCTACTGGCAACTGCTGCTACTCAGGATAGGCGTAGCCGTCGGGTGCGTACGGATGTGGGGGTGGCTGGTGGGTCTTCGCCTTTCAAAACAGAGGCATGGGGGAACCGAAGCAGTGTCGCGGGAACAAAGTGTGATCCAATATATAGCAATGCCTATCGCAAAAAAGAAATGGTCGTTTTACGCCGATTTTTGTGTGCATAATAAACTGAACTTTTTGGGCAAAGGTACCAATGCGTTCCTGTCCACCGAAGACCCTTACCACGTGTGTTTTCATACCACGGAAGTATTTGTTAGCCATGCTGTAACTGCGACGCGCAGCCGGATTTCTGCTGCGTCGTCCGCTGATGGGGTTGCCGGGCATATCTCAGGCAGTCGGTCTGCGTGCCGCTCTGCACCAGCCTCATCGCCGACCACTTCAGCCAGAAGACCCGCGGCGCCGCCCTCGGCTTTTTCAGCCTGGGCACCAACGCCGGCTACAGCCTGGCCTTCACGCTCGGCGACCTCATCACCAGAGCCAACTTCTACGGCAAGGTCAGTCCGGAGCGCGCCTGTATCCTGGCTCAGTGCGCCAGTCCAAGAGCTCACTGACATTCAGGTCACCGACGCGCGCGGCATTCGTTGTGCGCAACGCACGGCACACTGCCAAATAGCCGCCGGTAGATAAAGCTGTCGATCCCGGTGTGCTATCTGGCCGCTGACTTGCCTGTATTTGAGTGGAACCTGCAAGAATCCGGGAGACAAAAAACGATGCATCGAATTCCCAAAACCAAACGGGAATGGAATCAGTGATTCACCAGACGCGCCGAGTTTATCACTGTGACGTCGGATAGCGCGGCTGCTCCTTGCTGACCGAAGTCTGATGGCGCACGGCAGGGCTGGCCTCCCTGCTGACCGAACTCTGATGGTGCACGGCAGGGCTGGCGGATGGCGTTCATCCTGACGGGGCTGCCGGGCATCCTGCACAGCTTCATCATCAGCTTCACCGTCACCGAGCCGGCGAAGGTGGCCAAGAAGAGGCGCTTCAAGGCCACCTCCTTCACGCGCCAGAACCTGTGGGCCAACGTGTGCCGCGTGTTGCGCCCCTTCGCCAGCCCGACGCTGCTGTCTCTGACGGTGGCGTCCTCAGTGCGCCTCACAGGTGCGTCACGCTGGGGTCAGCGTCACAGGCGTGACGCCCGGTACGGTCAGTGTCGGGGTGGGTCGGGGATGGGGGTGGTGCGATGCAGCGCTGCCCATGCCAGGGTCAGCTGGAAACGCGCACGGGTATACTTCATGCGTCGGCCCAGCACCGCAGACACACGCCGCGCTCGGGCCAGCGTCGCGTGAGGGTGTGTTTGCCGTGGGCCATATATCATTCATGGATCAGGCTTAGCACGGCGCGTGCCGCTTATGCTCGATGCCACATTAATCATTTGGGCTCGGTACTACATACACAAGTCAAAGGTCGGGCAGCACGCAAGCACGTACGTCAAGATGTAGGTCAGTAACACGGACATTCGGAGGTGGAGCGCATGTCTATCCCAGACGCGTACAATTCAGACGCGCTTAAATAAATGATGCCTCTAGATTGACCGCAAATGCAGTGTCGTGTGGAACCGCATACGAAGTCAAAATAGCTGGATTATGTCTCCATCACGCACCGAATGGGCATTTATAATGCAAAATAAGAGGATGATCTTCAAAAATTTCAGCTGTGTCCGGCCAAGGGCAGCCTAGCTCATGTTTCACCACCCGTCCTTGACCTCAACAGTGTTGCGTACGTGCAGGCCGTGAAGAATCCCGGGCCTGCGATCCCGCACAAACCACACAAATGTTCTGGAAGCGCGATGAGTTATGTGTCCCTCCCTCTCCTGCAGCGGTCCCACACGTGTGCAGCAGTCCTGTGCTACTGCAGGCATGGTGGACCCGACTGAAATCCAAAATTACCAGGAATTCCCTCCGGGTTTTATGCCCTCTCTTTAGCGGCCAGAGGCTAGGCTTCTGGTTTGTGGGACCTTACTGCTAAATTCTTCGTACTCGACATTATGAAGGGATGTGGTCGTGATTCGTTGTAAATTGATGGCGAACAGAGGCACCTTCGTAGAAGCCACTTTAGACCGGTCATCGCAAAGATGGTTTTTCCACCAAACCTAAGCCCTCAAAAGGTCAATGCGAAAGCAAAGTATCTCACAGAGTATGATGCCATCGTGACGGTCTTCAGCCTCGGTGTTACCTGGCACCCACCGTTGACCCCGTCCGCCGTTCCCCGGCAGTCGGCATCATGTGGGCGTACAACGTGCAGCTTTACTTCGAGGCGGTGGGCCAGTCGGCGGCCGCCATCGCCGGCTGGCTCTCGTGGATCCCGCTGGCGGCCGGCTCACTGGGCGCCGTGCTGGGCGGCGTGTTCAGCGACGTGCTGCACGCGCGCCTCGGCCTGGCCGGCCGGCTCTGGGTGCTGGTGCTTAGTCAGCTAGCCACGGCCCCGTGTGCGGCCGCCGCCCTCTACCTGCGGCCGCCGCACGCCTTCTACCTGCTCGTGCCCTGTCTATGTGCTAGGTGAGCTGAACGGCGGCCAGCGTGGCTGGTGTGCAGGGCTCGTGTCCGTTGTGGGTCGCATGAGCCGAGTTGGGACCTGTGGGCCGGCCAATGCGATGATATTCAAAGCATGAAACAAGTTAGCCATGCTATGTGATACCACCGAGCCATAATTGTGTCGTGTATAAGCCTTGTCTGCTCGCTTTCCAGTAGCGCACTATACATAATCCGCCAGGCAGAGTATCGCAGGCCTTCGTAAGTCCCGTGCGTCGCGTACGCCGTCGCCGTAGTGGAACTGATGCCTTGTTGACCTGACCTACCCCGCGTCCCCGGGCGGGCTGTTTCTCCCGGCCAGCGCTGCCGCCGCGGTGGAACTGGTGCCGTGTTGACCTGGCCTGTCCCGGATCCCCAGGCGAGATGTTCATCTCGGCCAGCGCTGCCGCTGCGGTGGAACTGGTGCCGTGTTGACCTGGCCTGTCCCGGATCCCCAGGCGGGATGTTCATCTCGGCGAGCGCTGCCGCCGCGGCGGAACTGGTGCCGTGTTGACCTGGCCTGTCCCGGATCCCCAGGCGAGATGTTCATCTCGGCGAGCGCTGCCGCCGCGGCGGAACTGGTGCCGTGTTGACCTGGCCTGTCCCGGATCCCCAGGCGAGATGTTCATCTCGGCCAGCGCTGCCGCCGCGGCGGAACTGGTGCCGTGTTGACCTGGCCTGTCCCGGATCTCCAGGCGAGATGTTCATCTCGGCGAGCGCTGCCGCCGCGGCGGAACTGGTGCCGTGTTGACCTGGCCTGTCCCGGATCCCCAGGCGGGCTGTTTCTCTCCGCCAACGCTGCCGCCGCGGCGGAACTGGTGCCGTGTTGACTTGGCCTGTCCCGGATCCCCAGGCGGGCTGTTTCTCTCCGCCAACGCTGCCGCCGCAGTGGAACTGGTGCCGTGTTGACCTGGCCTGTCCCGGATCCCCAGGCGGGCTGTTTCTCCCGGCCAGCGTTGCCGCCGCGGCGGAACTGGTGCCGTGTTGACCTGGCCTGTCCCGGATCTCCAGGCGAGATGTTCATCTCGGCGAGCGCCGCCGCGGTGGAACTGGTGCCGTGTTGACCTGGCCTGTCCCGGATCCCCAGGCGGGATGTTCATCTCGGCCAGCGCTGCCGCCGCAGTGGAACTGGTGCCGTGTTGACCTGGCCTGTCCCGGATCCCCAGGCGGGCTGTTCATCTCGGCCAGCGCTGCCGCCGCAGTGGAACTGGTGCCGTGTTGACCTGGCCTGTCCCGGATCCCCAGGCGAGATGTTCATCTCGGCGAGCGCCGCCGCCGTCGTGGAGCTGGTACCTGCCGACCTGCGCTCCTCAACGGTGGCCGTGTTTGCTTTCATCACCACGAACGTGGGCGGCTCGCTGCAGCTGCTGCTGGGTCCGATCGTGGCTGCCTTCAAGGCGAGCGGCGCCTCGCACGAGCATGCTTTCCGCAGTGAGTGCCCTGGTAGCCAGGTGGCCTACGCGACTGAGGACTGCGCCGAGCGGTTCAATGTAACCATGTGTGGACCGCGCAGCGTAATTTGATGTGCATCGTAACTTGATTGTACATGGTCAAATAGACAAACTGAGGTCCGGCGGAAAGCGACCTATATGCGAAGGGACACATTGGTCTAAAACGGGATTCTGCATTGTCATGTGCTGACCCAAGTATCCATTCTGCTGGCGGCGTGGGGCTCTGACAAAGAAGGAGCTGCTCTAATCGGTTGTTTGTTCGTCGTTGTGTTAATGTGGCGCGACCACGCACCGGCCATGACCAAACGTATTCTGTTAAAGGGAGTATGACATATTTTTGAGCGTTGAGCTTATTGTTAGATTAGATGAGTCTTATTTGATGAGAAATGCCAGTTGCCTCGAAATTTGTCTGAATAGCTCAGGGTGTCGATTTGAAGTAGTCGCTCCTGCAGGAAAAATCCTGTTGCACTCCTTGCTCGCTACTATGAAGGCAATATATTTATTTTCTTTGCTTTTTTCAAAGGTGCGTGCTCTGTAAGGTTTGCGACACATTAATTTGTCAAGATGCTTGTGCTGAGATGTGCCAAATATGTTCCACGTGCTGCGACGCGCCAAAGATATATTATGTGCGGCAATACGTCAAAGATAGTCACAAGATTTCGATGAATAGGTGAAAATGTGGCTGAACTCAATCCGAAAACATTGCAAGGAGGGGATTTAATTGGCAGAAGGCGCATTTATACGATCGGCGACCGTGATCTCCGAGCGCAAATGTGAAACGAAAGATACAAAAAAGAGCTTGAGCGCTCTGTGCACACACAAAAGGCGTAAGAGGAAGAGCAGAAAGGCCAAGTCCGACCAGAAATGAGTGGAATTCAGACTGTAGCGCCTCAGAGATGTATTCGTATTTGTACACGCCGTTGATAGCCCGTGCGTACAAACTACCTGCGTCAGATGCAGGTATATCCGTAAACATCGACACGGAAGGGAGCGGAGGGGCAATCTGCACCCAACCCAACCTAAAAATGCATACTAAGCCCGGCTAAACCCCGCCGACTCGCCTGTTCATTCCCATACTTCGTGTTCTTGGATATGCGTCTGTAGCCCGCCGGGCGCTGTCCTGACCGCCTCCTGTCGTTGCAGTGGGCCTGTACCTGCTGTTCCCGGGCGGGTTCGCGCTCTCGGGCCTGCTGTTCGTCGTGGCCCTGGTGTGCCACGCGCTGCGGCCACGGCCCGTCGTCTCGCCAGCCGACGCGCTGCAGCACCACCAGCAGACGTCTACCTCGACGCTGTACGGCGACCGCGACGGCCCGGTGCCAAACGCCGTGTAGGGGCGCCGCTGGTTCGGCGTCCGGTGCGGTCAGCGGTGCGGCCTGTGCCACGGAGGATCGCGTGTGATAGGGGCGGGACGCTGCCGTCCACACACGCCGGCGAACGCGGCTGGTGCGCTGTAACCGATGCCGCGCACCTGGTTGGTCGATGCTGTTTTCGTCAGGCCCTAAGAGTGGTTGGGAAGACTCGTTGCTGTTGTGGTCTTGAGCGTGTTGTTCCGTCGTGCTATGCTCGGTTCGTTGCAGCGATGATGCGTTGCTTGTATTGAGGTTAAGTGCGTTCCCTGGAGGTAAAGCATGGCTGTTGAATGTGGTCGTTCGACGTTTGTGTCTGTACCCGTACAGTATAACGAGTTTAGTCGGACATTTAGATGGGGCATTATGGTCTTCTGAGTCAGGTGTTATGCCTTCGACAACCTGCAGCAGGCTGTTTTCACCTGTATGGTCACGCTGGCGACAGTGTAGCTTTTTCAAGCGTAAGTAGTGCATGCCTTGTGCGGGGCGTCCTCACAGAGTACAGCATCAGCAGCCGACCCGCGCCGCCCTGACGGCGGCCTCGCTGCCTGAACAGCCGCCGGGGCCTAGACTCCGGGCACATCGGCGGCAGAGGAGCCGAGGGCTAAGCTGTCTCTCTCCCGTGCATATCCTGTTCAGCTGGAGCTCAGTGCGGACGCCGGACGGTCAAAGGTTGATCCTGACGCGGCGGTCGGTCCTCCTCCTAGTCCTCCATCTCCTCCTGCTCGCGACGCAGGAGGAGGATGAGCATGGAATGGCGCCCGTTCCGGTTCCGGTCGACTGCTCAGGCTCCACGAAACCGCGCGGTTTTCAAGTATGTGATACTGGTTGTATTGTGCATGTGTCTGTACCGTGTCGCTGAAGGGAATATTAATTGTCAAATAGGAATTTTACATAGGTGGATACATTTTCGCTCAGTGATATGTACTATTTATTTGACTATTTACAATACATATTTATATTCGGGGACAAAACTGATTTGTGTTGTACGTGTTGTGCGCATATACTTAAAAAGTGATAACCTGACAACAGATATCAGATGACTACTCGCGTCGCTCTACGCGCCACTCTATTGCCCGCAGCGCGCGTCTTCCGTCTATCCTGTCCGAAACTGCAGCGTTTGGCTCACCCAAAAGGCATCGTAGAATCGCACGATATTGCGGTTTGATTTTTTTCACGGTGTCAGGTATGCATTGCCTGTGAAATTCGACACGATTTAGTAGGTACTGACATCGACGGCGGCTTTCATTCTAGGTATTCATCCATAGGCAGAGCCTCTGAACTATTCGGGGACCTGATACCCAAGCATATCACGTTTGACATCATGTTGATTTTGTACCAGATAGTATCTTGCCGGTGTCAGTTGTCTTTTGCGTGCTAAATCCATTATCATGGGACTGGTCTGCGAATACTGCAAGGTTTTTCACCACAGGTGGACCGGAGCAACGCTGTTCGCCAGCTTTTAAAAACATCGGGTGTCCCAGATGAAAGTTCAGCAGTGCTTCCTTCCTCAACAGTGGCAAGCTCTCACAATGGCAGCTACCACAATGATGTGGTAGCACTCGACTGCTGTCGAGATGCGAGCTATATTGTCCGGCATCGACGGACATACGTGAATGTCTGTCACGCCGAGCGCGAGCCGCGAGAACATTTGGTGGCGGGCATGACAGGTGTGGGGGGGAGGGAGTCTGAGGTGGGGTGCGCGTGCACTGTGCAGTTGGCCGGCTGCCACTGGCACGCGTTCTCACAAGAGCAAATTTATCGTGAGGAGCCGGTTGGTCAGCATACCAGGCAGAGATGTTAGCGCAAACTCGGCATGCTGTGACTCCGGTACGCCCGCCACCAACATGTACACACATGTGAGTCACAGAGCTAGGATGACGCGGGTGACCGGGGTATAGGCGGGATGATGGGTTCGGTCAGGCAGCACGAACGTCTGTCTCCCCGTGCAAGGTTGTACACCCTTAACATCGGGAGCCCACTTCCACCGTTTGGTTAGTGATGGTAGTTAAACGGAGGAAAAACGGAAATAGACGCGATGAAAAAGCAGCCGGCGAATTACACCGGCAGGGATACTGGCCCTGAGAGCCCCCTAGTCCTTAACTGATCCAAACAGACCGCAAGCATTCGACGCCCCACCGCGTTCACTCCAAGCAAACACATCCGTTGGCGCCCACGTCACCCCATTCATTATTGGCATTCCCGCAAGGGTAAGGCACTGTAACGCGGGTTCTCGTTGAGGTAAGTTAATTAAGTTAACGCATTTCAAACATCGAATGAAGCCACGTTCATGCCCTATTTAAAACATATCTGGTCAGTTTGTTATCAGCTTGGCACGGACATGGCTGAATGGGTCGGCATCCGACGTACAAAAAGCTGGACGACGACTCGTTACCTGGCCTGACCTCCAGGGTGACGGCTCCCTATCTGTGCGACACTCTCCCGCGTCTTGCCCACGACGGGGCGGTGCACCGCTCCTTCGGCGACGTCCTCCGCTTACAGCTTCCCACTGCTCCAGCACACGCCTTAGGCAGCGCCCCGTCCAGTGCGGAGACGTCCCCTCCAGCGCTTCTGCGCCCTCGCCTCCCGCCTGTCGGAGTGAGCTTTGCAAGGCACCGCCCCACGGCGCGTTCCTGAGATGTCTGGAGAGGTAGACGGCTCACCTGATAAGACGATGGAGTCCCTCAGCAGACAACGCGCGCCCGGCATGACCTGCGTTCACGCCTTACGGTCTTCGCGGCCGGCCCTGACTTGATATTTAGAATATCAAACACTTGCCCTGACTGCCTTCTTGGGATGTTAATTAACGTCCGCGGGTGTTCAAAGGTACTTCCTTAAAATGCGTCATCTTTCTCGTCAGCCCGTTTGACCACCATCCAGTGACAGCAGGAGCCGACGTTCCCTAGCGGTCTCCGGAGACTGCAACGCCGGGCGTCATGTTTTTACCTCTAAGAATTGCGAGCAAGCATGTTCATAACTAAATGATTTTTTTCGCTATTCAATTCTGAATGAAAGTGGAGCATTCCCAGACCAATGTGTTTTGGAAATGTCAATACACAACTCTGTTCCCATTTTGATCTACAATCTAAGTTCACGAAGTCGTCATGCATATCCATGTAAAGCCCTCCAAAAAATCCGGCGAGGCACCTCAGTGCTATCGGGTTAGAAACTCCACTGAACCATTGTTAAATTCAAAGCGCTGGAGGCTGATTCCATGAAATAATTTAACACGCGCTCGGGTGGGGGTCAAATTGATCCGCTCCCAAAGGTTTTTCAAAATGATTTCTGAATGGCGCGGCGTACCCGCGCCAAATTTTGCATAGCTGTAGACAATTGAGTAGCAGATCGTTTGGCATTAAAAAAAACCTAGATGAATCTTGTAAGGTCGCTGATCTATGGCAGGTCAAAGTCAGACCATGATCTCAGCGAAGGCAATTTCTTGAAAATCCTTCAATCCGATCCAGCAACGGAGTGTTAGACGTAGCCATACATCTGTGAGATGCTTTCTTAGGCAACACAACAGTTGAATGAGCAAATTACATTGACCTAAGGTCAGGTTTGAAGGTCACACCAAGGTCAAAACCAACCTGTTTTGTTACTCCAGGGCTTGCTGTATGGGATAGTTTCTGGTGCTCATTTCGAATTTGTCGGCAGCAGGAACCGCATTATACATCTTCCCTGGACTTATAAGAGGTCAAAATAGGTCACTGACTTAAAATGACCCAGGTCAACATTTTGTTTTAGGAACATACTGCATAGCGTATTCTTTGTCGCTTAGTCAAACGCAAAACTCAAAGCACTCTTGCATGATTTTGGTTACCTTGACCTTCAAAAGGTCAAACAAGATCTTTGACCTTGAATGAGCATGTGACCTTTTGCTTAGAAACGGTTAGCTAGGTTCTGGGGGCACTTTGGAGACCAACATGAAACTTGACCTTGTTTGACCTTTTTGACCCGAAGGTCATGATCTACGAACCTGCAAAGCTGACCTAAGTGAGTTCACGTACAGGTCAACACATCCTGTAAATTTGGTGTCTCTAGCTTTCTTAGTTCCCGAGATCTCAGGGGGTCAAATTGACCCCCACCACCCCACCCGAGCGAAGGGTATCTAGTCGGCCACTTGGGCGCGTGTTGACGCACAGCAATAAATAAACGTGGTGTTATTTATTTTTGTGCTGTGTTTGAAATATTTCTCGGCCGGAGTGATAGCGAAACCTCCAGTGTATGACAATCGCCAGTGCCGTACGGACTACCCCCAGAGTCCGACGGCAACCCACGCACTGACAGCAATATATATATATATATATATATATATATATATATATATATATATATATATATATATATATATATGTTGCTGTCAGTGCGTGGGTTGCCGTCGGACTCTGGGGGTAGTCCGTACGGCACTGGCGATTGTCATACACTGGAGGTTTCGCTATCACTCCGGCCGAGAAATATTTCAAACACAGCACAAAAATAAATAACACCACGTTTATTTATTGCTGTGCGTCAACACGCGCCCAAGTGGCCAACTAGATACCCTTCGCTCGGGTGGGGTGGTGGGGTCAATTTGACCCCCTGAGATCTGAATATATATATATATATATATATATATATATATATATATATATATATATGGATAGATAGATAGATGGATAGCTGGATAGATACATAGATATAATGCTTACGCATTTCATGAAGCGACCCAAATAAAGGTAGAGTAAGCCGTGCACAGAACGCTCTGGATTACCATTTTATGCTTGATATTTCATTAAATGCTGGGTACTGCCAGTGATCTTTCACCTCAAAGGACAGAACCAATTGCACTAACGTCTCAGGCGTTGGCCATGTGGTTCTTCTTTGTTGCAAGCATGCGTCTCGGTGGTCGATCATTGGGGTATATATTACCCTCATTGGGATATCTATACCGGTTCCCGCGGCCATGCCCGAGTCGTCCAGATTCCTCCCTCCAACACCTGGGGTTGGGTTCCTGAGGTGGTTGTTTGTTTGACCTGGCAGATGCCAGGCGTTCAGGCTTCTTGAAAAAAGCAGTCGGCGAAATCCAGGCAGACCAAAACTCATAGCTACTATGGGCCATTGACTCGAATTAGAGATTCTGACCAGCCTGTGCTCAGGCAGTATTTTGACATCTAAATTGTGGAGGCAAATTGTATTCCCAGTAGTGGCCCAAAAGTCCTGTCCGCTGGTGAAATTTCGCCTCGCCAGGGGAAAGGGTGTCGAAAGGGGCTGATCGTTTCAGGAAGCTGGGCGGCCTTATTTGCTGAGTGGTATAGACGAGTCGGAAAGGTAAGACTGTGCGCTAATAGAAAACAGCTGTAGGTGTATATCTACTTTATCAATAATGGCATTTGCTTATTTCCGGATTGTGTTTTGTGAATAAATAGCGAACAAAGTCCTCCCTCCCCCCCCCCCCAATCCTGGTCGTCGTGATTGCCTCCCAGTACTAAGTAAAAGTTTCTGAGCGTACCTTGAGCCTGCCCCCCCCCCCTCCCCTCATACTTTTTCGCTGACAGCGGAGGCATTGGATGTAGTTTGGGGCGAAAGATGTACCTTGGCGCGTGCGTGTCCTATGCGTGTTTCGGAGGGCAGATCAGAAAAGGCAGGGTGATATGAGTCGGTTGCCGTTCGCTTCCCATTCCGATGGAGATCGCACATGCAGCAACCACGCCGAACACAGACGGTTCGTCCACCGGTCTTGTCCTCGTTGATGTTACGTTAGTGGAAGCAGGCGATTATTTCCCTGGATGTTCTTTGTAAGGTGTGGTGTTTCTCGGGTACGTGCAGAAAAGTCTCGTTCCCCGTCCTTGTCCCCCGACCTCTGTGCGTAACTTTCGCTGCAGCCATCACACGATCAGCCTCCACTTCGCTCGCGAATTCCACCTCGATCCCCTCATCCCGCAATCTGTCGCACCGAACGACGCCGCCGAAACGATCACAGCCATTCTGCCCCTGGAAAGTGAGAGAGACGAGAGCCTCTTCTTATCACAATGAAACACCCAGATTCCGGGAGAGGGGTTATTCTCCCTTGCTTCATGGGATTAACGCAGTCCCTCCCTCTCTCGAGGTCGGATGCTTTTTTGGTGTGAAGATGTCATGCCGGTTTCGATAAATTTAGGCACCGAGGCTCCCCACCCACCTCGGAGCCCAGCCGGGAGACGGCCCAGCACTCCCGGGAGGTGGTCACACTTTGTTGCTTTAGAGCGCCAGAGGTGGTCTTCGCCAGGGCTAGCTCGGTGCTATAAGGGCGAACGACGCACTCGCGAAAAGGCAAGCGACACCTCCATACGGCCAGGTGTAGCCGGGGAGACCTCTCCCGGTTCTGAGCATGGCTCCGCACCCCGCCCATTAATCCCTTGAGCCGCCGTGTACAGTCAGTGGACAGCCGCGAGCAGCGCCAAGCCGCCGCGCACGGCCAGGTGCCCCCAGTGGAGAGCCGCGAGCAGCGCCAAGCCGCCGCGCACGGCCAGGTGCCCCCAGTGGAGAGCCGCGAGCAGCGCCAAGTCGCAGCACGAGCGACAGGCCGCTTAAGTTATGGGGCCCCACGGAGCCATAGAGTTAGGTATATCCGGGGACGCGGGGCCCTACGGGCCCCGCGCCCCGGATATCCTACGCGGAATGGGCGCTGGGACGTGCCGAGACTGACCCGCGCGGTGCGCCGGTCACATCGAGGCACAGAAGCCCACGTGCCGGCAGGGTCGCTAGGCTGTCCACGTTACCGCAGTCGGGTCCCAGGGCCACCACTCCCCCTGCGCCGGCTGAAGCCGGCACCCTGCCCGGTGGCGTGGAAAGACGGACGGATTTGGCTGGAGCGTGTCACCGAACGTGCGGCGATGGCAGATGCGGCGTCAGCGGCACCAGGGCGCGCGCGGCATAGCTAGTCTGCCACGTCAGCAGACAGGTTGCAAGTCAATCGGAGCCACGAATGAGTTGGCATTGAGAAGCGTTGGATTTCCAGCACGAAAGAGAAGTATTACGACATATATTAGAGTTGGAAATCCAACACGCAAGAGAAATATTGCGACATATATTAGCGTCAAGTAATGGAGTGGTACGTTGACAGCAGACGTCAGCTCTTGACACGTCGTGACATCTATCGAGGATCTTGGAAGCGCAGCTTCGGTGCAGTACCACTTGGTGGCTGGTGGATGACATGACTTGGCTGCATTAACAATGAATCAAATCCTATGAAAGAAGCATCATAAAAGTGATGTCTTTTTTCGAAACCAACAGTTCAGTACCTCTACGCTGACAGATTGACGAAGTTCTTTACGTCAACGCGTCATCAGGCATTTGCATGGACGTGCCTTTTAACACACAGGAATGCATCCTGAAGCCTGAATTGACAGCAGCCGGTATTGGCTAACCCTTCGGCTAATATGTGGGCACACCGGATTCAGCTCGTCACATGATTGTCCATCTACCAGTGCTCAGTAGTGTACCAGTACTCAGTAATCAGTTAATTTGTGCAAACGAGGCTTAGCCCACAAGTAACCGTCGGTCAGGCGACGCTCAGCCCATAAGTACCCATCGGTCAGGCGGGGCTCAGCCCACAAGTAACCATTGGTCCGGCGAGGCTCAGCCCACAAGTAACCATCGGTCAGGCGAGGCTCAGCCCACAAGTAACCATCGGTCAGACGAGGCTCAGCCCACAAGTAACCATCGGTCAGGCGAGGCTCAGCCCACAAGTAACCATTGGTCAGGAGAGGCTCAGCCCACAAGTAACCACTGGTCAGGCGAGGCTCAGCCCACAAGTAACCATTGGTCCGGCGAGACTCAGCCCACAAGTAACCATTGGTCCGGCGAGGCTCAGCCCACAAGTAACCATCGGTCGGGCGAGGCTCAGCCCACAAGCAACCATTGGTCAGACGAGGCTCAGCCCACAAGCAGCCATCGGTCAGGCAAGTCTCAGCCCACAAGTAACCATTGGTCAAACGCGGCTCAGCCCACAAGCAGCCATCGGTCAAACGAGGCTCAACCCACAAGCAGCCATCGGTCAGGCGAGGCGCGTCACTGAAGATCTCCAGACAAGCCACTGGCTAAGCCCGACGCGGCAGGGGACTTAATCAGAAGGCAAAACAATAGAAACCTATACAGCTCTGAATATATTCCATCACGTTCGTGCGGTGCTTGTCGCACGCAGCGCATCATACACGCTGAGACAAAGCGTGACAAAAAGGCTACTGTGTGGCCCATTTCCAGTCGTTCCGGAGCAATCCCAAAGCGGGAGGCAATCATCAATGCAAACAAAACGCATGGATAGTACAGTTAGCATTGGCAGTGACTGGTAAACTGCTGACAGTTTGTAACTTAATACGTTACCAGACGGCCGGATTGTGGCCGGCACAAGGAACGACATCGCATAGCGACCAGGCCTCAAGCACGGCACGCCTTACCGCATCACGAGCGTCCTGACGAGGCACCCACTGATGTCCTACAGGCTCCCTTGACCTCCCACCCCTCACAGGTGTCCCCTGATCTGCCGCTCCTCACAAGCGTCCCCTGACCTTTCGCCCCTCACAGGCGTCCTCCGACCTCCCACCACCCAGCGGCGTTCTTTGACCTTCCGCCCCTCACAGGCGTCCCCTGGTCCGTCGCTCCTCACAAGCGTCCCCTGATCTTCCGCCCCCCACAGGCGTCCCCTGGTCTGCCGCTCCCCACAAGCGTCTCCCGGCCTCCCGCCCTCACAGGCGTCCTCTGACCTCTCGCCCCTCACCGGCGTCCCCTGGCCTCCCGCCCCTCACAGGCGTCCCCTGGTCTGCCGCTCCTCACAAGCGTCCCCTGATCTTCCGCCCCCCACAGGCGTCCTCTGACATCCCGCCCCTCACCGGCGTCCTCTGACCTCCCGCCCCTCACAGGTGTCCCCTGGTCCTGCCGCTCCTCACAAGCCTCCCCTGACCTTCCGCCCCTCACCAGCGTCCCCTGGTCTGCCGCCATTTGCAGGGGTTTCATGGTTTGCCGCCGCTTGCAGGGGTTCCCGACGGTACGCCAATCGCCTCACAGGCATCGCCAAACCTTGCAAGCCTGCCGAAGTATCCCCCTCGGCTCACAAATGGTCCCCGATCTGAGCCTTCACCAGAAGAAGGCGGCCTTCTCGCGCAGAATGCGCACGCCAAGCGAGCGCCACTCGGAGGGTCGGATCCAGAGCTCGCTGGCTGACTCCATGCAGGCCATGATGCAGGCGCCCTTCCACGTCACCACCTGCGGATCCTGCTCGCGCGGCTCCGTCACGATCTCCATGTGCTCTGAAACGGTGCGGGCCGCGTCACGACGACACCCCGAACGGCGAGGACGGCCCTAATCTGTCCGCGAGCCGGACATCGTTTGCGGTCGAAGACATGCGGCAGTCAACCGAGCAGACGGTGCCATGATTGGCTGGCATACCGAAACACCTGACGTCACGGCCACCGCTAAGCCTCCGTGGGATTGCCCGGCCTGGTGATGCGGTCTAACGGCCGCCAGCAGGCGCCGGTGGTAAGCTGGACAGCTGGGGGGTCGTGGCCCGCACCGATGGCAAGCCGCCCGTCACGCACCTGGCCGGAACTGGTAGGGCACCTGCAGCGACAGCCGGTTGCGCAGCCAGTTGGCGAAGCCCGCGAACTTGGCACCGCCGCCCACCACCACCACGCACGAGTAGAACTTGCGTTTCAGCTCGTCACTGCCTGCGCACGGCGTGACGTGGCGGGTCAGGCGGGCGCGGCCGACGGCTCGGAGCGAACCAGCAGGACACACGGCTGACCAGCCGGACACACGGCTGACCATCCGGACACATGGCTGACCAGCGGGACACACGGCTGACCAGCGGGATACACGGCTGAGCAGCGGGGCACATGGCATGGAGCGGACCAGCGGGACACACAGCTGACCAGCGGGACACACGGCTGACTAGCGGGACACAGCTAGCCAGCGGGACACATCGGCTGCCCGGGAGACCGGCAGGTGGTGGGGAAGGGGTGGACAGACACATTAGTCTGCATAAGCGGGTAAAGTACGGTGATGACCTAAATGAGGCAGAAACGTCCCTTTCTATCGCGCCAATGCTGTCTTTCAATGCGCCATCTATGTCACTCCATCATAATAGCACATCAAAGCTCATCAATCTTGCTCGTGCGACAGAGCTCATCAGGAAGCTCTTATATGGGCTCTGGTCTGCTTTATCAGGATGAATGACGACGGCATTAAGGATGGCCGGCATGCGTAGCTGCGCTGCAAGCTCGATAGCGTGGGGAGATAAAGGTCATCCATTGAATTTGTACCACATTGGTCCACGCTCTGCAGAATTGCTTGGTCCAGACTTAGCAGCCTGTCGATCTTGATCTGGCCGTTGGCGTCTAGTGATTGGCTTGGCTCCATGACGTCAACGTCATCGTCCAGCTGCGATTGGTCCACAGGTTCGCTGGCTGCGTCTTGGGTCTCACGCTTGCGCTGAAATAGAGCACCACCGCGATGCATCTCGCCAAACCAGACAAAAACAGGGATCAATACATACATTGATCGCGAGCTGAAATTGCACACACATACTTGTATGTGACATTCAGCATCTTTGTGATATGTTTGCAAACGTGTCACAAAAATGTTTAATTTGTTGCAAATTAGGAACTGTGCAAAATTACGCACGAACATGTTGGAAAAGATGATTCATTAGAGGACAAAACAACAGCGTCTGTCCCATTTGACAAGCAGTCTGACACCTATCGAGAACAACCATCCTTAGCTCCAAAAATACTTGTCGTTACGCAGTATGACAACGATCTCAGGCAAACGACCCCTCAGTAGCCTGCCCCTGCCGACGGCACGCGACACGCCGCAACAGGCGCCGCCGGCCCGGCAGCCGCACGGCCACGTCCGGCCGCTCGGGTCGCCCACCGAGGACACGCAGCCGCACGTACCCCGGTCTCGCGCAGGTACGCGGCGTCCAGCGGGTCGTCCCGGCCGCTCGGGCCGCCCACCGAGGAAACGCGGCCTTACGTACCCCGGTCTCGCGCAGGTACGCGGCGTCCAGCGGGTCGTCCGGGTCACCCCGGTACGGCTCATGTAGCCGCACCTGCTTCGGCCCCGTCAGGTGAAACAGCGCCGGGTGGAAGTAGCTGAAAGCGACCGGGCGCTGGCTCTGAGTCCGCACCGTCTGGGACAGCGGCCGGCCGGCACACGGCGCGCAGTTCGGGACGTGCCCCTGGCGGGGCGGGGCAGCTTCGCCCCACTGACCTTTCCCCACCGCGCGTACAATGGATGTGCGAGAAATGCACATGAAGGACATCTCGCGCGACTGTAGACGCACCGACGGACACTGAGCATAACCCCATGACGTTTACATCGTCAGCACGACATACAGGCCCGGTGAGCCATCCAGTCGTTGAGCAATGCCACCAAACAGAGGCGAGACGCAGCGGAGACAGAGGCCCGCACGGGCGGCGGACGCGCAGATTTCGCCGCTGTTCTTCTCTGAGACGAGCTGCTCGGTGGCGACCGCCAGCTGATGCCGACCTGATCAGGTCAGCTGCCCAGCTGATACCGACCTGATAAGATCAGCTACCCGGCTGATGCCGACCTGATCATGTCAGCTGCCTAGCTGATACCAACCTGATCAGGTCAGCGGCCCAGCTTATACCGACCCGATCAGATCAGCTACCCGGCTGATGTCGACCTGATCAGGTCAGCTGTCTAGCTGATACCGACCTGGTCAGGTCAGCTGCCCAGCTGATGCCGACCTGATAAGATCAGCTACCCGGCTGATGCCGACCTGATCAGGTCAGTTTCCCAGCTGATGCTGACCTGATCAGATCAGCTGTTCGGCTGATGCCGACCTGATCAGGTCAGCTGCCCAGCTGGCGCCGACCTGATGAGGTCGGGCCGCCGGCGCTGCCAGCTCACCTCAGCGGGGCGATGATGCACTCGTCACCCAGCTGCAGAGTGTACTGCAGCGAGGCGTGGTGCGGCTTACTGACGCGAAACGTGTGCTCCTGCGGCCCGCACGTGTCCTGCGGGCCCCACCGCCAGGTCAGGTCACGTCAGGTCACGTCAGATAACATCATAACACCAGGTAGGATAGCATCAGGTAAACCGGGTCATACCGACACCGAACATCAGGTAAACCAGGACAGGGAAGACGATTTTAGGACAGTCAGGCCACGGCAGGCCACAGAGACACGGGCGCCGGGTCCGGTTGGATGGGTGCGTGTCCCGGTTAGTGCACACGTCACGCCAGGTAGCCAGGCGCGGCCAGGGTCTGCGAGTGTCAACACAGCACGCGTCACCCCGGTGCCGGTTAGGCAAGACCTGTCAACACCGGGCCCTGCTTTGCCAGGTTAGCAGTTGCGTGGTGTGTGTCATTGGGGCTTCACGATGCACTCAGCTGCTGAGGCTACATGGCGTCGCCTGCCTCTCACCCTGGCAGGAAGGGCGGGCACCGCGGGGAATCGAACTCCGTACCTCACGCGCAGTGGTTAACGCAGACGCAGACGCAGACGCGTTAACCACTACACTACCGGCACCCTAGCAGCTGTGTGGTGATGCTGGAACATGTTGCCATTGCCCGGGCGACACCGACACCAGACGTCGGTCTCGGCAGATGAGGCGGGTCGCACGGTCACGTCAAAGGTCAGAGTAGGTCAGAACCTGACCCCGCTCTCGGCAGATGAGGCGGGTCGCACGGTCACGTCAAAGGTCTGAGTAGAGCAGAACCTAACCCCGCTCTCGGCAGATGAGGCAGGTCGCAAGGTCACGTCACAGGTCAGAGTAGGTCAGAACCTGACGCCGGTCTCGGCGGATGAGGCGGGTCGCACGGTCACGTCAAAGGTCTGAGTAGAGCAGAACCTAACCCCGCTCTCGGCAGATGAGGCAGGTCGCACGGTCACGTCAAAAGTCAGGGTAGAGCAGAACCTGACCCCGCTCTCGGCAGATGAGGCGGGTCGCAAGGTCACGTCACAGGTCAGAGTAGGTCAGAACCTGACACCGGTCTCGGCAGATGAGGCGGGTCGCACGGTCACGTCACAGGTCAGAGTAGGTCAGAGCCTGACGCCGGTCTCGGCAGATGAGGCGGGTCGCACGGTCACGTCACAGGTCAGAGTAGGTCAGAGCCTGGCCTCCGTCTCGGCAGATGAGGCAGGTCGCACGGTCACGTCACAGGTCAGAGTAGGTCAGAACCTGACGCCGGTCTCGTCAGATGAGGCGGGTCGCACAGTCCACAGTCACAGGTCAGGTCAGCACCCGATCCCGGTCCCGTCAAGAGAGCCCGGAGCAGGGGACGTCGGCGCCCCGCCGTCGGCCAGCGCGCGCCGGCAGCGGCGACCGACGTTGTGTAGCCTCTGCCGGACCGGGGCACCTCCACTCCACCACCGCAAGCACGGACGGCTCCGGATGTGTGACGGGTTCGTCGGGTTCGGGGTGTTAGCTACCGTCCTGTCCCGCGTCCCCGTCCCCGTACGCCACAGGAATGCTTCCGGTGCCCCGTGTGCCCCACACGACTTTTATAAACAAGCGTGAAGGGAAGGAGATGTTGACGACGTCATTGGGGTAGGCGTGCGTATGGTTAACCGAGACCTAGAGGCTGGTCCGTGGTACGCAATAACCTGCACTACAGGTCACCGACCATGCTTCGGGAGGCGCGTGCGCTTCCACAGTCAATGACGGTTAATCGATGGCGCGTCTATTAATACTCAGATTGCGATGCTTCGAGCATACCACGCCGGTATATGTGCAGATGTGAGCATACCACACCGGCGTATGTGACGATGTCCCGAGCATACCACGCCGGTGTATGTGCAGATGTGAGCATACTACGCCGGTGTATGTGCAAATGTGAGCATACTACGCCGGCGCATGTGCAGATGTGAGCATATCACGCCGGTGTACGTACAGATGTCGTGAGCATACCACACCCGTGTATGTGCAGATGGGAGCACACCACGCCGATATATGGGCAGATGTGGGCATACTACGCCGGTGTTGCGCAGATGCGAGCAGATCACGCCGGTGTATGTACAGATGTCGTGAGGATACCATGCCGGTGTATGTGCAGATGTGAGCATACCACGCCGGCGTATGGGCAGATGTGGGCATACCACGCCGGTGTGTATACATATGTCGTGAGCATGCCACGCCAGTGTACGTGCAGATGGGAGCATACCACGCCGGTGTATGGGCAGATGTGGGCATACTACGCCGGTGTATGTGCAGATGTGGGCATATCACGTCGGTGTACGTACAGATGTCGTGAGCACATCACGCCGGTGTATGCACAGATGCCGTGAGCATATCACGCCGGCGTATGTGCAGCTGTGAGCATACTACGCCGGTGTATGTGCAGATGCTCACCAGGTCGACATGACAATAAGTTTCCTTGAGTTTGTGCAGCAGAAGTGCATCTAGTCGAGACGTTGACATGCATTGTTTGTAGGGAAAAGCGCTCTTTTTCAGGAGCCAGTAGAAGGTCTGCGTAACATCACTGCCGCCATATTCCAAGTGAATCTGCAAAACAAAAATCGAAATAGTGCACAGACAACGCGCTGGCCAATCCTCACAGAACTAGCTGGGGTCACCCCACCATAGTACTTCCAGGCACCGGCGTATCCAGAGAACTGGTGTTGACGTCATTAAGTATGGGGAATCCACGGTAAGACAGAGAAGCAAACGGCACGGGAATTCCAACAGCATACTCTCACCGAAATCAGCAAGGCAGAGGGCATGACAGTCAACTCACAATCAACATACAGAAATAGTCAGAGACCAGTCTGTCGTTCCGGTTCATCTCGAGTTAGAGCCAGCGGCTATTCAATACCCATTTGTTTCCAATGACCGAATTTGTACGGAAGGCCAAAGATCAGACCAAAGTCACACAGCACATCTAGGCACATCAGCACATATGTCGAGAACTTTTGCACATCTAAGACAGGACATGCAATGGATTTGAACGGTGCTAAAACTGCAAGCGATATTGGGTCCACGCAACGTTATGAAAACATACCATTGCCGGACGCACTGGCGGATACGACTGCCTGAGAATGCCAAATGAATAAAAAATGAGACCTGACTATGACACCGGAGATAACCCGGTGCTTCAACTAAGCGTACGAACATGCCGTGGGACCCGAGTGTTGATCATATTCTTTCATCATTCGCGGTAATGGTTCGACCGGGTTCCCCAGATTTACCGCGACTTTCACCACCATCTCCGCGGTATTGAGTTGCTTCGGTCTCCGCAAGGTGTCGTCCGAATCGATCAGGGGCGGGACCAAGCGCCTGCATTTGATCGGTTTTATGTGAAGACGGTCCGACCATACGTGCACATGAATGGATGCGCTTGAAATGCTTCCGAAAGTGTGACCTTTAGCATGACGACTTTAATATTCTGCACTTAAGCCAGTTTTTCAGTTCACTGTCGTGGCGCAAACGGCGGATGAAATTAAAAAATGTGGGAAATGAAAAAGGAGGGGCATACCATGTACCTCCTTTCACCGCGCATACGTTACGTGCCGACGAAGTGTATCAAAAACAGGGATCGCGTACTGGGTGATATTCAGGGAACGCAGACCTAATCATACAACAGCGATTTGGGGGTGGTATATATATATATATATATATATATATATATATATATATATATATATATATATATCAGCCAGCACGCGAGGTCATCGTCGCTGCAGGGTTGACCTGAGGTGAGAGGTCGCCGCCGTTAGCAGGAGCCGGCGGCGACTCACCCGCGTCTCCCGGATCGACATGCCGTCCTCCACGCAGGAGATGGACGTCTTCTGATCGCCGATGTCGACAATGCAGGCCGCTGGCGAGCCCGAGCCGAAGGCGGCAGCCACATGGTCCTGAGGCAGAGGTGCCATCAGTCACCATGGTGATGACAGTGACACGTTCGGTTTAGAGGCTCATCGGCAGCTACGGCCGTTTGGCGCCAGCGGTGACCAATGAGCCAGCCAGGATAAGATGGAATACGATAATGGGGCGTCCGAAATTCGGCGCGCGGAAAGTGGAACAGCAGTAGTCTGTAGCACGCAGACCGCCATCGTTAGTTGCCCTGGACCTCAGATCCCAATGAATCTGACGTTAACCAGCCCGCTTCGACGCGTGACAAGCGTACTCCGCCAAAAGACGGGCATGCCATGTAATAATAATATCCAAAATGGGGTCGAGTCATGTCAGGTCGCCAGGTTGGGGAAAGCCAAGCTATGCCAGGGAGGCCGTTGTAACGTGAGTTGTAGCGAGGTAAGCAAGTTGTAAGTTGTAAGTTACAAGGCGAGTCATCGTCACATTGTAGGTCATATTACACCATGGCGAAAGCTCAGAGAGAGCATTCGAAAAAACTTTCAAATCGAAATAAACGTGGAGCAGCATCAGTTAATCATTTCTACATCATCCTCGAGTTTGCATCCTCATTCCTCATCAGTTCTAACCATCCTTGAAATACCTGAGGTGGGCTTTCGACAGAACCCTTCGGCCCGGAACGGGTTCAACCGTAAAACATCGAGCACACAGATGCCAACACTGCAAACAGCTTTCGAGGGTGTCTGCACAGTAGATGGTGGTGTGTCACCACTTGCTGGCGTAAGTGTACGTCGGCTTTTGTTCGGTCCGCTCAGCGCCGAGGGGTCTCCCCTCCCCCTCCTCCTCCTCCCGCCCCCAGACTCGGCGAGCCGGCCAGGCCGCGACCGGGGCGGCGCGCTCCAGCAGCACACCAACACGGTAGCGAAGCGCCTCCCACCGTACGTGGGGGTGGCTGCCGTGGTCGCCCTGTCCGCCGGTCCGGGGGGGGGGGGGGCAGCGACCACTACGGCCTCCGACCTTTAGCCGGGGCTGGCCGGGGCGGGGCGGGGCGAAGCGGGGCGGGGCGGGAGATGCCGCGTGTGAGCGCTGCCGCTGTCCGCGTCGCCGGCCAGTCCCCGACGACCTGCCACCACGGACGGCGGCGGACGGCGTCCTGCCCTGCTCTGCCCTGCCCTGCCCTGCCGCGCACCTCGCCTCCCGCATCACCCAGACAGCAGGTGAGGCCCGACAGCACGGCACGGCCGGGAGCGGGCCGGCCCGCCGGACCCACCACGGGCGATGCTGTACCGGTGACACCGTCTGCACACCGGTGGTGCGTAACGCAGCCGCCAGTGCGGTACAAACGCCAGTGGTGCCGACGAGTACATGTGCGATGGACGTGCTCGTCTTTTGATTGGCAACAATTCGCGTTGTCTAGTCTCAGCAGCCAGGGTTGGTAACTGCATTGCAGCAGGCGACCTGCGCTACCTTACCCAAGCGCCATCACTATGCATTTGAGTTGCGGCAAACTGAGGATTATTTCAATATTCCAAGGACGGTAACACACCTGCACGAGCCTCTCCAATCAAGCACAGGTACGATGGCCCGGGCCTGCGGCAGCTATTGTGGGAGCTGACCGCAATGTGGCTGCAGTCCTGGGCTCGTGCCGCGATACGCTGGTCCTATCTCAATAGTGCGCGGCATGCGTCTGAGCGGAGAAGCCTTAGCCTGAGCCCGGGGTCCTCGTGTCTTGAGTACGAGTTACCTCTCTAGGATCGCCATGGGTCGTAAACCAGCCCTTCACCACTTGACCTCTGGCGAGACAACATCGCGCTTCGTCAGTCATTAAGTTTGGCTTGTGGCTGAGCCTGATTTTGATGCGAGCTGTCCAGAATACCTGAATCCGAGTCTATTTCAGCTTCCACAGGCTTGAATTTTAGTTTAAGTACGAGTTCATCGTTGGTGTTACTTGGTGGGTGGGACTCTGAGTTTCAGTCACCTGTGAAACGGATCCGTCCACTTAAATTGGAACACCAAAGGTTATGGGTCCGAAATCGACTGCGAGCCGGGTCGGACTCAAGCCAGTTCCTGGACAGAGCGTTGCGTTACAGCTAAACGACGATTAAACCAACCACGTGAAAACGTCAAGCATAATCTGTCCCAACCGTGGTAATGCTTTTTCATGCCATGTCGTGGCATGAAAAAAAGCACTTGTTTGTGCGTAAAAGGCCAAAACAATGGCCTTTCATGCACAAACAGCCCTTATGTTCCCTGCAGCTATCCTTACACTTGTGGAAGTCCACGTACGTCATGGAGCAGTGGAATTCGTCATTTTTTATACGGAGTAAGGGTGTAGAAATAGCCCGCCACGCAAGCGATGCAATTCTCTGCTGGGAAATAACACTGTCGGCGACACGGAAAAAACGCCCGCGGCGTCATAGGAAATATGATGAGTATGCCCCTGATGGTTCGCAACGACCAGGGAATGACGGGACACACGGGAAAAGGCAGAGGGAGAGAGATAGGGGGAGCGAGAGAGGGAGAGCGACAGAGAGACAGAGACAGAGACAGAGACAGAGACAGAGACAGAGACAGAGACAGAGACAGAGACAGAGACAGAGACAGAGACAGAGACAGAGACAGAGACAGAGACAAAGACAGAGACCGGGACAGAAACAGGGACAGAGACGGAGACAGGGACAGAGGCATAGAGACAGAGACAGGGACAGAGACAGAGCCGGAGACAGAGACAGAGACAGAGGCGGCGACAGAGAAAGAGACAGAGACAGAGACAGAGACAGACACAGAGACAGAGACAGGGACCGAGACAGGGACAGGGACAGGGACAGGGACAGAGATAGAGACGGAGACGGAGACGGAGACAGAGACAGAGGCAGAGACAGAGACAGAGACAGAGACAGAGACAGAGACAGAGACAGAGACAGAGACAGAGACAAAGACAAAGACAGAGACAGAGACAGAGACAGAGAAGGGGGCAAGTGTAGAGAAGAAAAGAACGGGAGAGAGAGGGAAAGGGGTGGGAAGAGATAAAACATGCAGCTAACAATCCAGGAACACAACAGCGGAAACGACTCCAGTGCCAGGAGTGGGGAAAAACAACGGAAGTGCTACAGGAATAGTATTAAGTAACCATTGCTAAAATTATGCCACAACTGTTCAGTCACCACTGCAATGCATCGCGCCATACCAAAATAAGTAATGATGTTTTCGTTATCCATCTGGAAAGGCAGAGAGCAATACATTGGCTTGACTGGATGTAATCATGACCTGTCCAATCATTTTTACGTGAAAAGGTGTAACAACTGGTTGCGTGTTAGATTGAAAGTTTATGCAGGCGAAGGTTGTATTGGCATTCCCTGACAAGGAAGTTCTTACGGTAAAAATGGATTTACACCAGCATAAATCGGGTAAAACAGATCACAATCAACAGACTGAAGCAACAATATTTCGGGGGAGAGGGTCAATAACACACCCCGTGTCAAACACATATCACAGCTGCCAACCAGACATTTCACAAAAAGTCCCATCACTTACTTCTAAGCAACGTCGCACGTCTTGCGCATCTCACCCCGCCATGTGGTAAAACCCGGTAACACGTAAATTGATGCAATGGGGACACGCGAGCCCACTGGCCGCACGAGGAGGACCGATGTCACGCTGCGGGCATGGGAAGTCCAGTGGTGGTCGACGGGGGAGGGGGAGCCCGCGACCATGGCCGGGGGCTTCTGTGGCAGAGGCCGCCACCTGTCAGCCAGTCATCCCGTCCCACGCTGGTTCTGCGCACCAGATCAGCTGTCGGCGCCGGTAGACGAGGTGAGACATTCACGACTGCCCCAGGAGCACCAGCGCAGCCGCTGACCCAACAGGCAGCTAGAGGGGTGGGCTCCATCGAAAAACTGCGCCGCTTTATCCCCATCGTTAAGACATTTGCCATTGCGCACTGGGTTCATCCTCCGCGCTGCAACAATTTTGCGAAGTTTGGGTTCAACACAGGACCTTTAGAAGGGAGTCGTGCTTTCGAAAATGTGCAAGATGTCCTGATCATGACGGCATTTTCGGTCGTAGCTGACCTCGTTACGACGAAGTCAGCTGGCTAAAAACATTGCAGGGGTCAAGATTTGCTGTTTCCCCAGTATCCGTTAGCGTTATATTCGTATCTTTTTTGGATCAGAACATCCTTAAATACTAGAAATATATTTTTAAGGACCCGAACTTCCGCTTTATTCTATGGAAACTGATTTATTAGACTTCTCAGTACAGCTCAAGACTTGTCAGTAAGCGCACACTGTCAAAAGATGCAATTTCAGGGTCCGTGAGTTTCCGCGACAGAGGATAACGGAACGCTCAATTTCGCAGCGGCGGCTGTAAAGCCGTTAAGTGACGGTAACGCGGAAACGGTTCCCCGCTCGAGTATCAACACATGAGCCGCATACGCAGTTATTCGTACCATATCATGTGACCACATAACAGGTCTGGATTGTCTCAAAAGTACGCCATTGACGTCATAACGATGCTGTTGACCACCGCCCGTGGATGGAGCTCCGCGCATCTCTTTGAGAGTGTCTTACGTCCAACTGCTGTCATCCGACAGACACATCCGCGAGGGCTGTGTGGTGGGACAGAAACTCATCTGAACCATGCCATGACCTGCCATGACCCACCAAAACACCAGATGACCTTCCGACTGCCGCGACAAACATTCGACCCAACTCAACCTTTCCAGCTCTCCCACGGTGGGTGAGAGCCGTCTCGCCTGCACGCCTCCGAAGCCAGCAAAACTAGCTAAGCCCTCAGCTTCCTGCGGCGCTTGTCAGCAGCTACCTAGCGCGCGATTTTCACACCGGCAGTCTTGCGCTGCGTCTCCCTCCACTTCTCACCTCTCCAGAGGTCAACAGGGTCCGCGTCGCACCAGGCGCTGCACGGAGCGGCCCCCCGCGCGTGACGTCACAAACACGCAGCCCAGCCGGCAGCCCACCTTCAGGTTAAAAGCGCAAGTGTATGCATGGCCTGGCGGTCATGCCAAGGGCAAACACCCGCCACGGTT